AACAACAGTTTAATGCTGTATTATATGAGGACAGTGACACAGTAGCAATGGACGAGTCAAGCAGAAGAGGCTGAAGAAAGAACTCCAATACCATGGGTGGTTCCAAGGAGTGGTGATTGTTTTTAATCAGCATAAGCATTCTGGATCAACAGTCACTGCGACTGGATTCTAGGTGGATCCCCAAAGCATCCCATATCTCAGAAGTACAGGAAAATGGATGTGATGTAGAAACACAATGGTCATATGGAGGCAAGACAGGATGGTATTATGCAATTTTGAATCTTATCAATTCATTTCAAATTGATCAAGAGCATCTGTGATTCTTTCTCTGTGTCTCTGTCTCTGTTTCTGTCTGCCTCTGTCTCTTTGTCTCCCATCATAACTCTGTCTCTGTCTCCATCCCTCTCTCACTGTTGTGTGCCTGTCACAGTGTCTTCTGATTCTCTGACTCTCAAATGTAAAGAGAACAGGAACAAAGTAGAGGTGGATTTTCACACTGTCTACCACTTAGCAGTGGTTCACTTACCACTGTGAACATGATGGGTCTCTCAATGTGAGTTTCCTCCCCTTTAAAATGGAAACAGCAATACTCATCAAGTTGAGTTGCCATTGAGATGGAGTGAAGCAAAGTACTACATACATGCGTCATGGCTCCTGGCCCATAACAACTGCTCAATAAATGCTCCCTGCTTCTCACAGCTCCTCGTGCTATATTAGCCTCCCGCCAATATGATGGCTGTCTTCTACTATGGCCTGCCCTCAGCCCATTTTCAGATCAGCCAATGGAGCCATGACCGGAAGGAACCATTTTTCATCCAATTGGTCTCCTTCCAGCAGTTTCGTAGGGCCTCTTGCTATAAATCACTCTGGGAAAATAAATGTTCCCAATCCATTAGTGCGTTTCCACCACAAGACAATTTGAGCCACAAACGAGACAAGGCTTGTTAATGGCCACTTAAATACATTCCTGCAGCCCAAGCAAGAGACCCTCAGCCAACCTCAAGTCCTACCAACTCCTGTGCAAGAGAAACTCCCTCCTCTGTGACCAGACTTACAGCAACAAGGGGACAGATTGGACCTTTCTCAGGGGGAGACCCCATACCCTGTTTTCACTAGGACAGTTCCAGTTTATTCCAGAGTGATCAGTAGTGCCCCTTTCACTTTAAAAAGAGTTCTAGTTTGAATGGCAGACTATATAGGTATCCATGGCAACCAAGAACAAGTTAGGACAATAGCAACTGTCATTTACTGACCATTTTCTATGTGCCCGGCATCATCAGAAAGGTCTTAAATGCTGTACCTCATTAAACATCATTGTAATACTAAGAAAGAAGGCACTATTATCTCCATTTTATGAAGCAGGAAACTAAACTTGGAGGAATTGGGCAACATTGCCAATGGCAACTAGAAACCATGGTTGTGCCTGAACCGGGTCCCTTCTAGAGATGGTGCACTCACATGCACACACACACCTTCTGGGAATGTTGGTCACTCATGGCTCAGAGCTGCCCCCTTCTCTGGACAGCTGTGCCCAGGCAAACAGAAACATCTCCCTTTGAGAGATTCCATGCCCACCTTAGGAAGCAGCCCAAGCCACAGAATGCTTCTGGCTGCTCCTTGCTTCAGGGTGGGACTGACGGTGCCTGTACAGCACATGGTGGGAACTGCTGAGGCCACACCCTTCCTTAACTCTCTCCTCTGCCCTAGCCTGTTTTTCTTATGCCCACTGTCCCGAAAGCAGTCCTGCAACAATGACTTGAAGAAGGATTCCTATGTCAGGCTCTGTTCCCAAGAAGCCAGTTCTGTGACATCCAGTTAGCAAGTGGCAGTAGCCGTGTGACTCCTAACCACTAAGCAGATGTGACACAATGTTGCCTATAAGAGATGCAGGATTAAAATGAGGTCCTCCAGGTTGTCTGGTCACCACGAAGCATGTGTCATATTGGTATAGATATGACAAAAACAACAATGACAACAGTCACCACAATGACTACTGAAAGGAAGCCAGTGTCTTTATTGTCTCTGATCTCAACATCACCAGCTTATTATTGGCCCCATTATGTAGACAAAGCACAGGAGGCTGGGAGAAATGGAGACATGGTCCCCAACTTCACACAGACAGGAAGAAACAAGGTTAAATCTTACGCTCAGGCCCATCTTGCTTCAAAGGCCACATCCTTTTCCCACTTGGCCACTCAAACCTCTTGCTGTGTAAACTGTTCAATGACTAATTAGTAAAGCAGGTCCCACCAAGCTGACGTTTGTTACATGGGAAGCTCTGCTATCCTTCCCACCTCTACTGTGAGCAGTGGTTCTTTTTGTGCTGCATTTAACCAAATGCCTCTACTTTTCAGAGAAAGCTATGTTACTCTGGGAACAGCCAAAGAAAGTTCCCTTAAGCCATACATAAAAAGAGCAAAGGATCTGTATTATTGAAGAATGAAAGAAAAACCATGCATGTCAAAGGTCCAAAGAGGAGAATTATATTTCTTATGACTTTTCAACCAAGGGAAACAAAATGGAATAAAAAGAAAACAGCGGCGCTTTAAGGAGAGGCAGACTCAAATCTTTGCTCTACTATTTGTGTGAAATTTCTGGCAAGTAACTTAATGTCCCCAGGCCTCAATTTGTTCTCCCGTATTTCAGGAAAAATACCTATCTTATCAACTCATAAATGAGAGGGTAAGTGAGATAAAATATGTATGTCTCCCTGCCTCTTCTCTTCCATGTCCATACAATTTATAGAGTAATCAAACTGGGCCCTCATTTTAGGTTTAAAACCAGTTCAGAGGTAGTATGCTTTAGTTCCAATATGTGATGATAAAAGGTTTCCATTAAAAATAAAGATCAGACCAAGGGCGGACCTTCATCCATGAGGCTCTCCGTTGATTCATGAAAATACAGAATGAGTCATCCTGGATCTCAAGGCTAAAACTTAACAACCATGAATGTCTCTGGCCAGCCAGTCCCAGCCCAGTGGAGGCCCCCGTCAGCCATCTTCACAAGCTAACCTTATCCTCCCTTGAAAAACTGATTGACTCTGCTTTCAGCTTTGCAAAGGAAAATCAATTGGGGCTCTTTGCGATGCTATACCTCAGGCCTGCATGGCTTTCTAAACAAACAGGATGAGGCTATGTAGTGATTTCACTCTGTGTGTGCATGCACACACATGCGCGTGCACTACTCCACTATAGAACAGAGTTGTTTGTCTGACTTTGAAATCAATCTCCCGGCCTTCACCTTGACAGTTATTACTTCAAAATGCTTCAGTTCCTATAAGCATTTGTGCAGTTACTGTAGCATAAGGCTATTGAATGTAGAGATGGGAGAGTACAGACAGATTTGCACTGTGAGAGAGGCACTTTCCTTCAAAAAAAAAAAAAGAAAGAAAGAAAGAAGCTACAACATTGTATTCTCTGAATACCGACTTTGACATAAGACTCCTAGAACCCAGACCTCAGTTTGAAGATGGGTCATAAATTATACACATGCATAATATTAATGTATACATAAACTATTATTTGATGTGTTTTTAAGGGGAGAGAGTTATCAGTATATGGTTTTAGTGGTACTAGACAGAAGTTGTTCTGCCAGAAAGAAAGAGAAATGACTCAACAATCCCCCCTCTGAGCTCTTTTCTTAATCTATTCATCCAGTAGTAACTTATTCAGGTCACACCATGTGCCAAGCACTGTGCTAGGCAGTGGGGTTTAAGGGGGAAAGGGGCAGACAGACACTCTGCCTTCCAGGTTCCATCAGCGTGGTTCGGTGAGAGTTAACAGAAAGCCCTGTACAGGATCCTCCAGATTGCAAAAGCCTGGATTCCCCAGAGAGGCCTCAGAGTCGTGTCAGTGCCCAACATGACCAGCTTCATACAGGAGGGGTGAACCTAAGATCCCTGCCTACATCTCCCACCAGCTATCCTCTGATCTGCTCAATGAAACCCACGTCTGCTCACAAGGTTGCAAAGGCAGGAGAGATCTCCTCGACAGTTTTCTTGCCTCTAGATCAGGTCCTGATTCTGAGTTTCCCACCCAACCTGGGAACCTGCTGCTACTGTGGGAGCTGGTTGTGTTAGTTTTTGAAAAACAGATGAGAAGGGGCTCCCTGGGAACAGGCAGTCGTCCTTACAAGCTTTCGGGTCGCTGCAGAGTTTTGGATCCAGCGATCCTCTCCTGGTCAGCCTGCCCCAGAGCTCTGGCGAAATGAACCTGTAGCCTAAACACAGGGAGAGGCTCACATTCCGGGGACTCGCAGCTGGGCGTGGGTCTGGAGAAGTTTCCCGGGGGGCGGGGGGGGGGGGGCCCCTAAGGGCCTCTTAAGAGCGCTGAGCTCCTCCTGCAGTGGGAGCAGGAGTCCAGAGGATATGGATCAGGGGTCCCCCCTTCACCCCAGAGAACACGGGGAAGGCAGAAGGGGTCGGGTTAGATCCTGGGGAGGGACGCGTGCCTGAGGGTGGCCCAGCCATGCAACCTGTCCCCAGCCCCATCATCACGGCAGCAGAGATTTAAAAGACCAAGTGTCAAATCCCGACCAGGCAGGCCAGTTAGTGGCAGCTGAATGGTCCTAGACAAATCTCTCACTCTCTCAACAGAGGTTTCTCTCACCCATAACGGAGCATAAAGATGATCCTACCTAACTCACTGGGTCCCAGGAAGTACGAAATAAGATCGCACAGGTAGAATTCCGCGAAGGGCAGCCGCACATAGTCAGCCTACAGCTACTCAAGTGTTTAGCCACGTTAAGCGCCCAAGCCCCGGCCTGGCTTCTGGGGGGTCCCCGGGACGGGAGCTCCCCGCGCGATCGGGCGCCCCCACCCTGGGGCTCAGACCACTGCGGGCTTGGGGAGGGCAAAGGCCACCTGTGAGCATCCTCCCGGGCGTGGGCCGGCCTCGAGTGGTCTCGGAGGGGGCCCACCCGGCAGTGTGCCCCAAGGACCCCCATCCCCTCCCGGAGCGCCGAGCGCGAAGAGAGCGAGAGCGAGCGGCGCGGACACTGACCAGGCTTTGACGCGGATCTTGAGCTCGCCGTCCTGCGGCTCGGGCATGGCCTTCCTGCCGAGCCGCAGCTTGTTGAGCCCCCCGAAGCCGGCGAGCACCACGGCGCGCATCTCCTGGGCGTCCCCGAGGCGGTGCGAGCCGTCGCCGCCGCCGCCCTCCGCGGGCTCCTTGCTCGCCTCCTTCTCGATCATCTGCTCCGTCTCCTCCGCCTTCTCCGTGCCTTCCTTGGCCATGGTGCGGGGGCGCGGGGCGCGGGCTGCGGCGGCGGCGAGGGCGCAGGGCTCGGGCCCGGTCCTCTCCCGCGGGCTCCTCCTGTTGAATGCGGGGCGCTCGCGGCGCAATGGCTGCAGCGGGCGAGCGGCGCCGCGCTCCGCAGCCCGCGCCGTAATCCTCGCAGGAGCCGCGCCCAGCCCGCCCCGCCCCGAGCCCCGCCCCCCGGCCCGGGCCCGAACGCAGTCCCGGCTGCGGTCTCCGAACCCGGGCGCAACGAGGCTGTCAACAGCAGCCCTAACGTGGGATTTGCCCAAGACTCGTGAATGAAACACGCCTAGCGCGGCCGCCCCGGCCTCCCGATGGGGCGCAGTACGTGGTTAAATACGGCGCAGACTCGGGTGCCTGGAAAGGGACAGAGACGAAAGTCGGCCTGGAGGAGGCCCTGGCCGCGCGAGCTCCCCGCCTTCCGTCCGATCTGCGGGTCTGGGCCTGCGTGGGAGGGCTGGCAGGGCGAGAAGCGCCAAAGTGGAGACCCCAAAACTACTCTCCAGAGACCAGCCGCGAAGCTCTCACTCCGGACCCCGGCCGCCCGCCCGCCTGGGTGCCCTCTCTGGGCATCTCCAGGCGGTGCCCGGGGCTGGCTGACTCTCAGCCCTGCCCATTTCGGCCCAATATAGAGGCTTCAGAAAAGAATTCTGGACCAGAACAGCACACATCCTCATTCTGATTCCCAAGACCAACGGACAGGGCCTCCCCAGCTCGGGCACATGCACCGAGTAGGAGTTGGCATTTGGTTTTGTTCTGTTGATATCAGTTCCTTTGAAAAGTAGGCTCGTAGAAAAACTTGTATTTTCTTAGAAAACAAACAAAAAAGATAGGCGAGGATGGCTCGCCTTGTGGCAGTTTAAGGAAAGAGATGCAACACAGTGAGAAATAGTAGGTACGTGTGCTAGTTGCGGTGCACTTGTCAAGTTTGAAATCCTGGGCCACTCATTCGGCATTCCTGAGTCTCGGTACCCTCGTTCGTAAAATGGGTACACCAATTCTGTTACCTGCATGTGCTGAGCGCTGGGGTGGATATGATTTCAGAGATACCTGGCGTTTACCTTGGAGGTGCTGCATCTCAGCAGGAAGAGGGGAGGCAGGGACTGTAAAATCTCCGGTCAGTTTGTCTTTCATGTGCTTGTTTGATACCTGTTTCCTTCACCCGGCTCGAACTTCCTATGGGCAGGAGCTAGCTCCTCTGCATATATCTGGGATGATGGCCCAGGGACTTAGCGCACGATTGATGCTTAGTAGATTATGCTCAGAAAGTGCTTTGTGAGTAAAGGACAGAGTCAGCAAGGACAGATGCTTCTGTGGGAGTCAGAGGAAGGACCTGCTAACTTGTCCAGGGAGTTGGCGAAGTCCCAGGGAGGAGGGGACATTTGAGCCTGATCTTGAAGGACAAGGCAGGCTCTGCAGGCAGAGATGGTCACAAGCACCCTGAAGCACACAGCGCGGTGACAGGGGAAGGTGCCTTTGAGAGCACTCTGGTCTGTCCTGGGGACAGAGCACGGGCTGTGTCAGCAGTCCCCAGAGTGGGGGCTGAAGAGTTGGTTGCAACCAGGTTTGGAGGGTCTCTTGTACCATGGTCTAAAATTTAAGACATGATCAGGGAGGAAGTGAGCACCACTGAAGGCTGAAGAAACAAAACCTGGGCTAGCACTGCCAGAGCTGCGTGTTAGGACAATGACTTCAGCAGCAAGTGGATGACGGATGGGCTGGTGAGTTCCCGGAAGGGTGCAGATGAGGCAGGGGAGGGACCGAAAGGAGGCTCAGCTTTGAATGGACTGAACATTTTATCGTAAACCCAATTTTCCACATTACAGACCCTGTCTGTGTTGTGAGAGATAGGGTTTAGGCTGGATTCTCTCCTGAAACAAGAATCTGACTGCCAGTGGTTTATTTTGGAGGTTGTCCCAGGAAACTCTGGTTGAGAAGTAGAAAATGAGATGGGGAAGTGATAGAAGCCAACAGACAATGCATTGAGCGAGTTGGTTACCAGAGTGGATGGATAGTGCTCAGACCACAGGGGACTTTTCAGAGACAGTGTAGACTAAGTCTCCAAGCTGTCTTGCCCAAGGAGTAAGGAAATAGGTATTCATTCATTAAATTCTAGACATGATGGGCTGAGATCTGTTCCTGGTAGCATTCACTCTCTGGCATGTCCATCCTTCCCCGGCTACCTGGGCAGAGAAAATCCCCAGGCAGGTTTGATGTTCTCCACAGGAAGCTGTCCTTTGTTCATGAGGTGAGTTCCAGGGGACATGGCATTGGTGCTGAGAACATCTGCAATGTGTGTCACTCCTGGGGCCGTGTTACCACCCTAGACACATCAGTGTGCTGTGTAATTCGATTCTCAGGATACCTCCATGAGATGAGAAACACTAGTCCCTCCTTACAGGGAGGAAACTGAGCCTTAACACTGTGGACTGTCATGCTCAAGGATTGCTTCGGCTGTGGTGAGATGAGGTACAGGACTTCCTCCATTCATGCTCCTCACATTTCTTCTGCGTGCTGATGTGGGTGGGCAAACTAGTTCTGCCTCTCATTGATGGAATTTGGGGGCTTCTTCTGCTCTTTTCTTGGCTTTCTAAATATCTCCATTCCACCAAGTCTCCATGCCTTGGTTTCAAGAGTTTTCCTTCTGCATTAATACAGTAAATCTACTTTGCAGTAAGCATATTTAAGAGAAAGTGTTTGTCTTATATGTGTGTTAAAGGGAACATAATTATTCCCTCCAAGGGAATCTTCTGCCTGTTTACAAACTTTAGATTATAAATGGAAGGCAGCTGATTATCACAGCAACCCAGAGAGAACAAACACACTACTGTTTGAGCTGCCAGGAGAGGAATCTGGTCCTCTGAGTCCCATATAATACTGCTATTAAGTACTCCCACCTCTGCACCTCTCCCGTGGAAAGTGGAAAGAGCCGTGCTGCATGGCATATGTCCAAATAAACACAGCAAATTAATTTTGATGTATAAAATTGGTTCCTTGGGCATACACTCAGCCTCAGTTGTGAGATGTCTTACATTGTAGGGTGGCGTCAAACAGCGGCCACTGATGGTGAAACGTGGTATTACAGCTGTGTGTGTGTGTGTGTGTGTGTGTGTGTGTGTGTGTGTGTGTGTGTGTGTGTGTATGTTCGTGCAGGAGAGAGGTTGGGGGAGAAGTGTGGGAGTATAGAAAGGGAAATTTAGGGACACTTCTAATAGAATATCACACAAGAGAGATGAGGAGGTCTTTGAGTAAGAAGATAAGGAAAATAAAGCTAGTGTAATTTTCTAAACAATTTGGAATAGATCAGGAATTCTTCAGGGAAATATATTACCTCTCTAATGGTCAAGGCCTTCAGCAATATCCTTTAATAGTATACCACATTGCACTATCTTTAAAACAGAATTATTTGTTATACATATATCATAATATTTAATCTTTAAAATAATCTTGTGCCATAGGAACTATTATGTCTAATTTTAAGAGGAGAAAAATTAATATAACCTAAATAACTTTCCAAAGATCACCTACTACTTAATAGAGGTGGAATGTGAAGTGAGAGCTATTTGAATCTGATATGTGGATTCTTAACCATTTTACTCTAATTCTACCATTTTATATTTTGTTCTTTCAGCCATAAAAATGTCATATAATAGACCAAGAAGAAGGAGACGGATTTAGAAGGTCAATAATGGAAAGAGGTAAAGGATTCTACCAAAAAATACCTTAGTAAAATCTAAGAGCTTATTTTGAAAGATGTGTGCCATCATTTTCTTTAATTTGTGTTGATGACATTTAGAAGACAATGGAACACAATCATCGTGGACACTATGTTATTCTTCAGAGTAGAACTGGAGAGGTATGAAGGTGGCAGATTAAATTTCCTATCTATATCTCATAGGACCAATGCTAAGTGGTAAACTCTGCTAGTAACAGGGGCTGAGGGCAGCAATTTGTGTTTATATTTTGCTCTTTTGAGTGCTGGCCCCATGTTATTGCTCAGTACTGGAGATAAAATGGTGAATAAGATGAATACGTTCTCATTCCTGGAGGAGCTAGCAGTCTAGTCAAGGAGATGTACAGTGGTACTTCAGTTCAGAAACTCTATTCTCTCCACGATTCTGGTCATAAACTAAACTGGACAAGAACCAAATCAAATCTCCCCATAAACTCAACATTGAACCTAACCACTGCATTTGATTTGGTTCTTGTCCAACTCGGTTTGTGACCAGAATTGTGGAAGGAGTCGAGCTTGTGAACCAAGGTGCCACTGTACATTGGTTTAGGTTGAGTTGCCCAGAAGTAAATTTTTCTTAATTCAAAGGTTTGGGTCTAAGTGAGTTTATTTGAAAGATGAACCCATAAAGCACTAGTAGAAGTCCAGAGAAGGGAGATATAGAAGGAAAAGAGCTCAACAGAATACTACAGGTTATCGGTGTGTAACTCAGGTTCAATCCTGCTGGAGGAGTCTAGGAAATAGTCTTCCAGTGGTGGCTTTCAGTGATACAAACAGCCCACTGCAGTATGTGTGGCATAGATTCACCACCACTGGACCCTAGGCTGTTCCTCAAGTTAAGCTTAATGGAGTACCCATGACTCCTGCTCTTGGTTGAAGGTTGTTTCTGGGGGCGTGGCCATCATTCACTTCTGGCTGGCCCTTACCTATTGGGCTGTTCAGAACAAAGCTTTTCTGAAAGACTTGCTGGTTTTTGCAGCAAGAATCTGTATGGCATAGTGTGCATGGAAGTAGTGAACTCCAAGAGGGTGACAGTGGGGCTTTGCTGATCTGTGTTACAGATAGTAAAGCAAAAAGAAATCACATAAATAATTAATCCTTCACCAATTTGCTAAGTGCTTTAAAGGTAAAATGCAGTGTGCTGTCTGGAGTGCCAGGGAAGGCTTCACTATAAAAATGACAGTAAAACATTAGATTCAACTATGAATAACAAAAAGATGAAAAAGTGGCTTAAACAAGTCAGGGTTAGGAAGTTATGGAAGTTCCACAAGATTACAAATGTCAGTGTTCCTTCCAACACTATACTTGAGGTCATGAATAATGGGCCCATTCTCATGGCTCAAGATCCAGCCATTACATCCACATTCTAGGGAGCAGGATG